GCACGACGTTCTCACGAAGTTCAATTAATATTTTTTTTTATTCGTTTTTCAAGTTTTTGTTTTAGTAAACAACATGAATGCAGTACTAACGTTTAGAGAGCTTCGTTCTTCCTGTGGGTCTGGCGACCCCCTTGTTACCTAAGAAATTGTGTCTATACTCACCTCATGTTTAAAGAACTTCGTTCTTACCGTGGGTCCCATGACCCATTAATTTATTTTATATTATAGTGCTTTACGTCTGGCTCCTACAAAGGGCACTACTCCGGGCACTTAGCCCTTGAGAGAAGGAAGGGAAAAGGGATGGGAGGCCCCCCATTACTGGGAGGAGGTAGGGAAAAATAGGGCAATTTTTTGCTGCGAAGAGGTCGCCTAAACCGTCCTCGAGGAGCATTGCGTGGTGAAAAAGCACATGTAAAAATTCACAGAGGTATTTGCCCGAAAAAGTCGCACTGGCCGGGAATCGAACCGCGATCTCCCGCGTGCCGACCCACGACCTAGCCAACTGAGCCACCGCGCGCTCTCAGCTATATAGCTATAGTCGACATTTCCGCTCCTCTCCTCGTAGGCACACATTCGGTATACCCCTTCCACCAGTCTCCAAAATGTGCGCCTACATGCTTATTTCTACGCGAATCCACTCTTACTCTTGTAGGCGCACTGTTCGATATAAGTCTCACACTCTCGAAAAATGTGCGCCCGGTTCGACAGCTGGCCGCGGCGGGTCGCCCCGATCAGTGTCATAAAGTCGTCTTGCGTCGTAGCATCTTGAGTAGAAATTGAAAGTGGGCAGCCCAGCTTAAACGCATGGTCCAAATCAAGCAACCAAGCCTAGCCGCAGATGGGTGCAGGGTGGGCGGCGTGGCAGCCAAGCTTGGGCCCAGTTTTTGCCCACTTTCAATTTCTACTTGGGATTGGCGTTAGCAATCTCTCTACTCATCTCTGCTTAGCTCAGAGGGTGCCAGGGCCACTCGGTCCTGATGTATGGACGTATTGGTGAATCCGTATGAGTATCTCATACTATACATATTGTTCCGGGGCACTTACTGGACACTTTATTAATTAAGAAAATATGAATTATTAACACAAGCAACTACAACCCGATGACCCGTGGCATTTACTGGCCACTTTATTAATAAAATGTTAATTATTAACACAAGCGCCTATCACCAGATGACTCCGGGCTCTGACTGGCCATTTTCTTAATTAATATACTATTAATTACTAACACAAGCGACTACAACCTGATGACCCGAGGCGTTTACTGGCCACTTTATTAATTAATATACTATTAATTACTAACACAAGCGACTACAACCTGATGACCCGAGGCGTTTACTGGCCACTTTATTAATTAATAAATTGTTAGTTATGAACTTAAGCACCTATCACTAGATGACCCGGGGCGCTTACTGGCTACTTTCTTACTTAATAAAAAGGTTATTAATAACACAAGTGCCTGTCATTAGATGACTCGGGGCGCTTACAAGCCACTTTATGAATTAATAAAATTTTAATTATTAACAGAAGCACCTATCACCAGATGACCCGGGGTGCTTACTGGCGACTTTATTAATTGACAAAATATTAATTATTAACACAAACAACTACAACCCGATGACCCGGGGTGCTAAGTGGCAACTTTATTAATTAACAAAGCAATCGTTAATAACACGCATGCCATTTATTACATAACCTGGACCGCTTTAACAGTCCTTAATACTTTTACTGACTTATAAAGTGTCGAGTAAGCGCCCCGAATCATGTGGTGATTGGCGCTTGTTTTTTCATTTAATAATGTATTTATTAATAAAGCGACAAGTCAGTACTCCCGGTTATCTGGTAATAGGCGCTTGTGTCAATAATTATCATTTTATTAATTAATTAAGTGGCCAGTAAGCGCCTCGGGTTATGTGGTTAAAGATGCTTATGTTGTTTATCAAGAAAGAACACAAGGAAAAGTGCAGGGTAATTTGGTTAAAGGCACTTCCGTTGCTAGACCCAATTTGAATGGCGCACGCTATGTTGGTTGCTGCGTTTGAGATCGTTGGACACACAGTAACATACACTCACACGAATACACCAGTAAGACTACGCTTAGGGCTCGGGCACATGGAACCGCGTAAAGCGTAAAGCGTATCGCGTAAAAGTAAGGAAGGTTAGGTATACGCCACTTTGTGGTCACATAGAAAAGGCGTAAAAGCCTCGCGTATCGCGTAAGTGTGAAGTAGAGGGGAATTGACCAATCTGCTGTCTTGTCAACAAAAAAAGCTTTCGAAGTTCTCAACGCAAGTGAATTCTAACCTGCGTAAATATAAAAAAAAAAGTTTTCAAGTACATACTTTTTTTTATTTGAGAGCCGTTAATACATTTCATACAGCTTAATCATTACACTCCTCACTTTTTCTTTGCGATATTGGGTCATTGCATAGGTCGTATGGACTTTCCACAATTTGCTGAAAGTTCTTACGATTTATTTTTCATCCATGTCAGGAATTCGATTAATTATACAATTGATACTGTAATTGTTGTTGTTGACATTAGCTGCTGACTGTATTTACAGGTTGCATACTTTATTTACGCTATACGCGAAAAAATTTGTCATCGCGCACATGGGTACAAAAATACGGGCGTAACTATTTTTGCCATGAGTGTGAGCGAGACAGCATGTGCAAAGCCAACGAAATACTCGCTGTGATTGGTTTCAAAACACTTACGCGCGTATTTTATGCTCCTATGTGCGCGATGACAAATTTTTTTGCGTAAAGCGTACTTTACTAACTTTCCCTGATCCTATAATTTTACGCGATACGCTTTACGCTTTACGCGGTTCCATGTGCCCGAGCCTTATATGCAATCTTATTTACTTAAGATTGGAAGACCCCGGCAAAGTTTAAATTTACTTTGGTTTTAAAAATCTCTAAATAATATGTTAAACTGAGAAAAAAAATTATTCACCGACATTTTAGTAAGAAAACATTGTTACAATATACTGTGTTCGTAATATAATTTGTAAAATAATAATTTACAACTTTTATACATCTAAGACGATGGTCAGTAAGCTGGGTCACTCACATAATCTTACGGATGTCAACATTTAATGCCGACAAAAGTTTTATCTTGCCTATTTTTTCTTTAATAATAGCAAATGCAATAATTCTGTTACAGTAAAATAATTTTTTTCATAGATTACACAATTATCTTGAAAAATTAATATTTTAACATAATTCAAACTTTGTCGGGTCCTTCCAATCTTAAGTAAATAAGATTGCATGTAAGCGCAGCCTAATGGATCTATATCCATAAATCAGGACCAAATGGCCCTGGCGCCCTCTAAGCTAAGCTTTTATCATACATTCATCATTTATTCCCACACAAATGTGGTAAGTGAGGGGCCCTGGCGTTCAGGCCAGTAGACTGCCGAGATCATCCAGGATAGAAAAAAAAGCATTAAATAAAATGTATCTGACAGACGAATTGAGTAAAGTTAGTGTCTTCTGACACTCGCTCCTTTATTATTTTTAATTGTATGATGTTAATATTATGCTTACCAGTTCAAATTCTTTAACATTATCATCAATGTAATCATAATCATCATCATCGTCTACTTCGACAGAAGTAAATTTACCATTGTCGTGTATACCAATAGCTATGAGTGTTTCTAAATTTGCACTGCGTAGACCAAAATTGATCAATTCTTTTGTAGCTTCTAAAGTTTCAGGTACTCGAGATATGCACTCATTGAGGACCCATGATCTTTTACTGATTTTACTTAAGTGCTCTTGTATTGCATCAATTGAAAATTCAGATTTTCTCCATTCTGTTTGATATACCAAATCATGATCCAAATTGTACTTTTTGGCTAAAGCTAGTGCTTCTTCATATTCCTAAAATACACTTATACAAATTTAATAGAAGGTTCACATTAAAAATAATAAAGTGCCTGGTTGTGCATGTTGACAGTGCAAGCACCGGACCTTTTGTGCTTGCCTTATCCGGACAAAAATATATAGATGTAAATATAGCCATTACAAACAGCTGTTTGACAGCTGTACATACAGCTACAACTACCTATATTACAGCTATAATCGGGTGTATGAATAAGGTGTACATAAACGTTTATTTACAGGTATAATAATAGATATCAATTATAGCTATAAATTTTGCTCAGATTTTACATAAAAGTAGGTTTAAAATCGGATTTTTTGAAGGTTTACCAGACATTACCGGTGCCATCATCCATATAATAACATAAAAAGTGGGGGCCTGAAGTATTTTTGAATCAGTAGAAAAAAAACAAAAATCTTAAGCAATATCTTGAATTTCTTAAAAATTGTTCAAAAATACTTCAGGCCCCCAGTTTTAATGTTATCATATGGATGATAGCACTAGCATTGTCTGATAAACCTTAAAAAAATCCGATTTTAAATCTACTTTTATGTAAAATCTGAGCAAAATTTATAGCTATAATTTATACCTATAGTTATAGCTATTTTATAGTCAGTTATAGCTATAACTATAGTTATAATTTGTAGGTGTAATGATATGTAGCTATATTTTTTTGACTGAGTATCGTACATCTATTTTATACCTGTAAACAAACGTTTACGTACACCTTGTTCATACACCTGATTGTAGCTATAATATAGGTACTTATAGCTATATGTGCAGCTATAAAAACAGCTGTTTGTAATAGCTATACTTACAGCAGCTATATATTTTTGTCCGGGTAGTCCGATACGCACCAGGTGAGAACGCTATTTTACCTACTTAGGGCGCACTAAACATGCAAAGGAAATAAAAATGGGGGGGGGTTCGAAATAACGACGGTTCACTTCAATTTTGTCGTAAAACTATGAATATTTATTCTAGTGACGTGTATTTCGACGACAGCGATAGCTCAATGCAACGACTGTTCATTACTTCGACAGCCAATCACTGAGCAGTATGAGTAGAAAGTCAGAGCGAACTGCCTTGTGATTGGCGGTCGAAATAACAAACAGTCATTGCACTGAGCTATCGCTGTCGTTGAAATACACGTCACTGGAATAAACATTGATATTTTTACTACAAAATTGAAGTGAACTGTAGTTATTTCGGACCCCTCCCGAGAAAAGTTTTTTTTTTCATGATATTTTGTTACCTCTATTTCAATTTTTCTAGAGTAAAGTTCTTCTGGTGTTGTGCTTTTGATACCAACAAGTCTGTAAGTTCTATGAAATACTTTCGATTTTTTTCTTTTGGGCTGGAATCTTTCAATATCTGTAATAGAATACAAAGCACTCTTGACCACATGAGTTGTATAATTCAGGATCGTAGCTGGCTTTGATTCATCTTCCTCTTTCTCATCATCTGATGACAACTCTACGATGAATATTTTATTATAGGCAAATAGAGTTAAAATTAGTATTAATGAAATGTAATTGATGGTATATTACCATCTGCATTTGTTTTTCTGTTCCTTTTTGTACTTGTAACAATAACTTCACAGTCCAAGCATAAAAATCCTTTAGATTCATTAAGCTCAGCAATTTGTGGACAGTTGTACAAAAATTCTGGACTAGTTCCTAAAAGGTTTTGTAAATTCTTGATTGAGCAAACTGAAACTGAACCTGAATATCTTGTTACTATCACAGCCTAAAAAAATTTAAAACACGTCATACATACATTGCCAACAATACTTTAAAGTGTTCATACAGTTTATAAATGCTCACATTGTCTGACCACCATCCAGTATCTAGGGGTTGATACTCTGATATGTTAGCAAGTACTTTCTTGAGTTTCATGGATTTCAATGGATTCTTCGTATTATATTGTGGTTGATCAAAAAGTGTCCATTGATTTAGTAGTTTGAGATTTGGCAAACTCCAAACTGAAATCGTACCATCCACATGAAGACATAATATAAGTTGATCATTCGGTGAGACACTGGTTTTAAATATTATTGGTGTTTTGTTTTTAATAACAGGAATATAATTCCATATTGAAAAAATAGATTTATGCGTTTCAATATCCTGTGAAGCAACTGATAATTTATAGTATGGATGGTCATTCAAGGTTCTCCAGCATGTTAAACCGATTTGTGAAGCTGCACACTGAGAAAAATATAAAAGTGTACCCAAGAAAATAAATTAATTAATTAATTAATCAAATATGAATCATTATGTAGAGTAAATAAGTTAATTACTCACAGATAAATTTTGATTAACACTATTTCCGGCAACAAAAAATAAGTTGTGTTTTTCGCTGTAAGAAACAGAATTAATTCCATTTCTGTAACAGCCACTAAATGAAAATTCATGGTTTTCACTGCAACTACTGTTAGAAATACAGTATGACTTAAGCAAGCCACTGTAAGTTACTCTAATAAACTCATAGTCCCAGTTAACACTCTTAACTCTTGGCTTCTTAAATATTATAGATGCTACAGCATCGCCAGCTTCTAAGACATCTGGGTTCTGAGAGACTGACTTAGGACTAATATTAAATATATTATTTCCAAAAGAGTTATAAAAAGAAATATAACCATTGCTAGAGACTAATGCTAAAATTGAGCCATCTGGGCTCCAAGCAAGTTTACGCCACTGTGGAAAGGCATCCTTTGGAGCTAAATGACGTTTCCATGAAAGTTTTATTTTTCACAACAAAATAAACTGCAACAAAGAAGACTTACCTGAAGCTTTTCCAATAACAGATGAATATTCATCTTTTGACTTTCTAATTTCTATAATATTTTCTTGTAAAATAGCAAGAATGCGCCCTTTGTCTCCTATAGCAAATTTCCACGGTAAAGTATAACTAATCTGTTGAGAAATTATTTCAGGTAGGGAATGTCTGTTATTAAGGTATCGCAATGCATTTTTTATGGTCCCTGAAGTTGGTAAAACTGCTAAATCATTTTTATACTTCTGAAAACATAGTATATAACATATAATAATAACATATATAAAGGTTATATAAAAAATAACCTTCAGAAAAATGCACTAAGAACTTTTAATAATAAAAATACACTTAAACGTGCAAAACTTACAGTTAGTTCAGGCTCTTGTTTCCGAGCAAAGTACTCCAGGATTTCGTACAAAATCGATTCATTAGCTGAACTTTCAGATGTTTCACTCATTTTAATGCAGCAAACGTATGACGTTCACAGTCTAACTATCATGCTTCCTACTGCTTCCTACTGTCAAAGAGACTACGGGTGAGATTACATGGAGTCTGGCAGTCTGCAGACTGGCAGAATCGCGCTAAGTTTAAAATATATTTCAATATTAATATTTAAAACCTGTTACGTAAGCAAATAAATAATTATCGTAATACATTTGCATTTCTGTATTAACTAATATTTATGAAAAAAAAAGGCGACGAAAAACGTTTTGTCACAGTTACACATTATTATACATACCAGGTTACATCAGTGACCCTACTGACCGACTGTGCGATGTTAACATGAATCTAGAAAAAAAGTTATAAAATAATATTTGACGCGTTGAATTGTAAATTAAATTGATTGTAACTAAGCCTTTATTCTGTTATGACAATAATTACAATTTTTTCTTTATTTTACTAAATTATTCTGAGATGTTATAATTTAAACATAATTTAAACTTAGCGCGATTCTGCCAGTCTGCAGACTGCCAGACTCCATGTAATCTCACCCTTACTATTACGCAGTATTAAAATTACTATGGAAGTTGTAAAATGGACTACAATCTGACTTGTATATTTACTACATTTAATATGGGTCGCAGTTCTGTCCAACATAAAATCTAGTGAAATTACAAAAATTTTGTACAACTACGAAAATTTTTGTAATTTTGCAAAAAAAATTGTACTTTTACATTATTTCATTTAGTAAATTTTTACAATTCGCTAGTAAAGCTTTTTTACTGTGTGGCCACTTTGTTTCATTGTACAGGCACTTCGGCGCTGTAGTAGTCACATTGTGGGGACCCTCTCACACACATGTATTCTTTGGCTCTCCGTCCTTCTCTAACCATCCGCTAGGTGTCTAACCATGCAACTTGACCTTTTCGCAAGTGCCCGGATTTCACGTTGGTTAATATATAACGGCGTTTAAGATGGATGTAGGTCATCCCCACTGATATATAGGTGTCTAAGGCTGGGAGCACATCATCAGCCTTACTGAAGAGTCCTGGCGTGCTCTCGGGACGAAACATCAAAAACAATCTTCTCTCTCGTTTCATGGCATCACCCCAGATCTGACTGATAGGGGTAAGTGTACCTATCTCCGTGCTCTGCCCTATTACCGTGGATTTTGAAAAACTGATGATTACTTGCTCAAAATAAGAAATGTTTCATATAAAATAATTTTTTAATTTTAATAATCTAAAATGACGTTAATGTAGATGCAATTCAAACAGAAATATTTGTGTATATTTNTATACATATAAGTAGATTTAATTTTTGTAACTTATAAAAATGATAGATAATTATAAGCATCAGCTTATAACTATCTTACACTTGATAAGTTACAAAAATTAAATCTATTTAGGTTAAAGCTACACTGCTCTATGATATAATTATCATAAACTTAAAAAAATTGAAAATATTTTTACAAGATTTATTACAATTAATACAGCGTTAATCACAATCTGATATTTGTAATCACTTCGAAGAACATATGACTTTTTATCGTATCTCTAATACAATCTTTTTCGTATAAATATTTTTAATATTCTTATTTTGTATGTCATATAGTAATATCACGTTTTCGAATACTAGCTTTAAAAATACTGATCAAGTAGTAAATATTTAAATACTAGAAAGAAGATTTGGTGAAATCTAGGTTACACCGAATTCTCTCCATTGATTGCATCTCTTTCGACAACTTCTTTGTCATTGGCATTAGCTATTCGTTTTTCGAGAGCTTTTTGAGCATTTTTTATAAGCTTGATCTCTGCAGCCAATAACCCATACTTTTCACATCTTCCATTCTAAATGATTTATTATGTTTTATGCTCACATCTAAAAGTATATAATTAACCTTTAATATTTAAATCATAAAAATCTAATAAAAATTAAAAATTGAACTTACGAACAATCAACTTCGCAAAATTCGTTCCACTCAATTTGTTGGGGCACTTATTGTTCATGGCAAAAACTGATTTTTATCAACAATATACGGATGAATTACATACAAAAACGTGCGCGTGGCGTTATCGCGGGTCGGACTAATATTGCAGGTTATGATTTAACTAAGAAAGCCAACGTAACGTCTTTGACTTCGAAATATGATAACTTTACGGTACATTTTACATGTTTACTGGAAAATTACTTGACTAATTGATAATCGTAAAGATAACTTGTGAACGGCAAATCTACGATTTCTAAAAGTTAGCTTGTGCTGGCTGGGTTAAGTTAAAATTTTAACTTTGAAAGCTTAACTTGCAGTTAACTTTAGATGACGTGAAGTTATTCACTTCAGTTATCTCTACGCTGGTATTAAGAGAACCATGCGTTGTCTGTAAGTTTTAGCAAAGTAACTTCCAATTTAACTGGATCTTGACCTTTATCTTACAGAAGTTATCTTCCAGAATTCCTTAGGGTAACTCGGTGCTGGCTGGGTTAAGACTGTAAGCCAAACCTATGGCGGGTGATTCAATTCGAACTGACGTTAACTGAATATTGATATAAATTGTTTTAAACAAGATAATAGGCGTCCTGTTCGTAACAAAACTATGTTACGTGATTGCATTATAATATTGGAAAGATATTTAGCCACCAAAACTAAAAAATATTTTGCTAACGCTGAGTCGTTGAAAAGAGAGGTTATGTTGACAAAATTATTGTATTAACATAAATTGTAGAAATTTTTGATTGGATGCCTTAAAGACGTTCTAACCTTATAATGTCATTACGTTACATAGGTTTAGTATAATTAAAGTGTCTATTTCCTTGTTTAAAACAAATTATATCGGTATTCAGTTAACAGTTTGAATTAAATCAACCGCCATAGGTGTGGCTTACAGGTTACAGGCTTAATTACATCATGGTTCCCGAATACAGCCCGTACACGATCCTGGTAACAACATGTTTTCGGGCCATATGTGCTTACGGATTCCGTAAGCGGACCGTATACTACTTCATGATACCATAGAGATATTATAGATATATCTATAATTTCTCTATGCATGGGACCCGTAATCTGGTTTCCGATGTCCGATCGGGGTAGTTCAAGTTGTATGAGTAATATAGATACTGCACAACTGCACTTGACCCTCATCTGTATATACTATGTAATATCCCAAATCTCAATGGATGTGTTAAGATTAATTTACTTCATTTCAGCCATCATTTTGAATGAATCAAGCAGAACCAGAGATTGCAGAATAATAATAAGAATATGAGGTAGCGTTGCGCATCTATTTTGATTGACCAATCAGGAACGCTTCCATCGCGCCGCTATGTCTGTCTGTGAATTTCAAAAGCTTTTTAAATATAAAGCATATTAACATCAAGAAACTCGTGAAACAATATATATTTTTTATTTCAATATTTTCATTCGAGTTGTTTCAGTGACCAAACGTACAATTCGTGAATATTCACACAGAAAAACTGACTAAATAGGTAATCATTCACAAATAGACGTACATGCATATTCATACGTATGTCACAGTTTATACAGTTGCGACACTACATAGAGAAAAAGAGTGTCCGGAATTTCCAGTCGCTCGGCGCTCTACAGAACATGGCGGCCGCCTCTCTGCACACAAACAGTTGTCTGCTATGTTTGTTTACGTTTAATCTTTTGAATAAATTTGACAGATACTTTTTAAAAAGCACCAGAAGCAGCTTTTTCTTATTAAACTATTGGACTTGGATACAGGAACAAAATCTAATGGAATGATATTTTTTATATTATATGCACTTTGCTAATTTTTACAAGAATCTTTTTTATCGAGTATCGATCATTCACTTTATTATTTTTTACATTTTACTTTTTTTAGAAATATTTTTGTATGATTATTTGATTTTTATAAAGTTTTTTTTAAGTTATTTTTCAAGCATGTAGGCTATTTACTATCTACGTAAGTACAATTTTTATGGTTTTTTATAAAATTTATACATGATTCTTACACACTTTAAAATATTCCTCATTTTTTCATGATTGATGAAATTATTATAAAATATATATAGAATATATACACGTCTATATAAGAATGCAATCAATAAATACTTTACTACATTTATAAATTGAAACTCATTTACACGATCCGTCGATCCCAGATATTTTTTCATTCAAATTTCTGCGGGTGGCGCTCCAGAGAATATGGCGACCAACGCCACATTGGCGGACGTAATGAGCTATTGGCATTATGCCTCTACCACGTGACCTCAGTATATATATGACTAATGTAGAGGGAAAATAACTTTGAGCTGTTTGTTTATCTCTGAGCATCAGCAGCAGTAGGGTTAAACGGCACTCCGTATACGTTCAAAACGCTGTTTCAACCTTCATAAACGAATTCATCAAAGGAAAAAAATAACAACGTAACTCTCATTATGTCAGTAACATGGAATTAACAACCTTTGTAAGCTCAATATCTTTTTAAGTGCGAAAAAAAATAAAAACAAGATTCCTCCCATAAGACCTGTATTATTTTCCCTCTACATTAGTCATATATATATACTGAGGTCACGTGGTAGAGGCATAATGCCAATGGAGTGTCGCAAATGTATAAACTGTGCGTATGTCTATATATATATATATATGTCACTTCAAGGTGGATACAGGGGATGGATTTTAGTTTTAACTTTGGCCACTTGGTTTCATTGTACAGGCTCTTCGGCGCTGTCGTAGTCACATCTCCCTCAAATATGGCGTCGTGATGAAAGACGCAGAATGGCACGAAAATGAGACCTCGGAACGCCACACCTTATATTCTTACATCATGACGGAAACCGTGGATTCGGGAAACGTACACAGCCCGTACTCGGGGTGTAATCCGCAATCGCCGCCAGCAGTTACACATGTAAGACGTGACAACGTTGTGTGGTTGGGGGCGCTATTGTCGATTTACTGGTGATGTGATCTGCAATCCCGCCAACAGTAAAGCAGACAACGTCGGTCTACTTGCTCTTTTTCGTGACATTTTTGCTGTGATCCCGCGATATCCCGCCAGCAGTAAAGC